TTTTAGCAAGAGTGCGCCCGTAAAAAATGCAGAGCTTTTAAAAAGCTATTCCCGCGGATATATCGGGGTCACGACTGACACAAAGTCTATAGAAAGCGTAAAGAAAATTCCTTGGGCCCACATAGACCAATAGACATAGGGACCTCCCTGGTGATGCCAGATGCTCTATCTCCATCTTAGTTAAGTATATTCGAAGTAGACTTCATTTAATATGTCAACAATTTTTGAGAATTTCAGTAGTGCTTGAAGCCCAAGTGTTGTCACGGCTAGCCTTTGCTTTAGTCGTGGCGGATGTAAATTATACAGCGAGCTTTGAAAAGCTTGACTCAATTACCTGTGGGATGTCCAACTGCGCTCTAAATGGAAGCGCCTTAGATTCGCCTAAAAATATGCAACGACTCTATAAAGACATACGGCCAATTTGACTATGCGCTTCTTAAGTTTTTATATTCCATAGTTTTAGACATTCATTTAGCATTTATTATATTTTTGAAAGACAGAATATAGGCATTCGAAAACTATATAATGACTCATTTCCCTCGTGTTTTTGATTTCAAAATGGCATAAAAATCAAACACAAAATTGCCATTTGCTTCCCTATAGACCCGCCAATTCCAATAAAACCAAATAATTTTGAATTTTCCTAACAGCGCATAAAAATATGTTGCCTTTGTGCCGGCCAGTTGCCGCCATACACTCACTACTAACTCTACGCGTACTACACGTCCATTATATTCGTTATAAATTTACTTTTAGTAAATTTTTTACATTAACATTTTGAATGCCACAGAGGAAGAAATAGAGAAAAAGAAATAGCGCGAAAAGCGCAAAAACGAAAAACGCGTTGGACTTATTTCGATATTCCCTGGTGCGCTTAAGCGCCAGAAAATATGCAATCAAACTTTATTGCAAGCAATAAAGTGCACGATAAAGGCTTTTGCTATAATAGTTTGTAGCCAACGCGTTGATGATAAATTTTTTAGAGAGGATTTTTAGCAGTTAATAGAAAAAGTGTGATAAAGCAAAGCACAATAGTTTAAGTAAAAAAATACGTAGCGAGCTTTTTACGATATAACGCGTTTAAAGAAATAGAATGCGCGCATCAAGGTTGCTCAGTCATTTGAAAATTATTGCAAATAAAAAACTGTAAATAAAATAATCAAAGTTTTGTTTAATGACTTGCTAAAAAGTATAAAAATAACCAACTGAGCTGCTCTTTAAAAAATTATTAGGATTAAAAAATGTTGCCATTTGTTGTCATGACATATTTTATGCGCGCTTTGTTGGCAATAATTCAGCTTCAGCAGCATAGCTCAGCTGCGTGCTCGCATTTTACAACAGTTTTGGCTGTGGTTTTGTGTGTTTATTTACTTTTGAATTGTTTTCTATTTTTTGTTTGGGTTCGTTAGCCAAAAACGCCGGTAGAGCGCCATTTGGCTGCTGCTGTTGCACGCTAGGCAGCCCATATAGGAGGTCTTACTATGTAGTAGTAATACCGGTTTTGGTAATATTGGAAAAAATTATAACTATGGAAATAACGATTATAAGTTTGGAAATAACGATTGTATTAAATTTTAATAACTAGCCCGAATTTAAATATTTTCTGAAGAAGATTAACGATGCTGCTTTTAATCTCAAAAACCAGCTTAAGTTTCAAATGGCTTATGGCTTGGATTATCGTAATGTATTACATGGCTATGTCGATGTTTACTTAAATAAAAATATGGCGGGTAAATCGTCAGAGGCTTGGTAAGTAGAGAGGTCAAAACAAACATAGCCAGGCTTATGTGACAAAAGCTTCGCAAGGCAGTAAGCCAGTTGGTGTTTTTTTTAGCACGTCTACAAAGAAAAGCCACACATACACTTTGGGAGCTGATTTTAAGGTTGACTCACCGTAAGCCCTGATAACGCTGATTTCGTCCGGTTCTCTGGAACTTATAGAACATGTTTGCAACTCAAATAGAAAGCACTTAGGCTTGACTCTAACTGTCGCATAAGAAAGCTTTAGTAATACAACATTAACCTTAGTTAAACCTATAACATTCTATGGAGTGCTCCACCTGCCAGCCTGCGCTTAATGGAATGCACGGGGTAGTACTTCGGGCCTCTCCTACTCTAGTAGTGATCGTTACCGAGCTTATTGATATTAGTCCGGTCAGACTTATAGGGAATTTACATGATTCAACTTTCACAGGCGATTAGTTGAACCAAAAGTTGAACGAAAGTAGGCAGCCGACCAACTTCATTGGAAGCGATTAGTTGAAAGGCCGATTACACCAGGCGATTGTTGCTTTCAACTAAAAATCGCCTGAAAAATCGCCTCATGTAAATTCCCTATTAGAGAAACTAGGCGCTTGCTGACTCCGTGTTTAGGCACTCAAGCCTTCGACTTTATTCTCGACTAAAATGCCTCTCGATCTAAATTGGTTTGAAACAGCTCTTTCACAGAAGTAGGCAGAGAGGAAAATCTAACTTTTTTTTGTGGTCCAAGCTTGGTGGAAGTGTCGAACAAGCAAAGAAGAGAGGACAAGTAAACGTTTACATTTTACGCAGACTGCACGTAACTTGATGAAAGATCGGCAAAAGTGTCTTATGTCGTAAAATCCCAATCAAACTAAAATTTAGGCTTTCATCCAATCACATTGAGGGCAATGGATGAGTGGATGGTAAGCTTAGCTCAAAGTAAGAATCTACCAAGTTATAAATTGATTTCTTGCTGAATTTCGTGAGGTCGAGAAAGGAGGTGAACATCCTCATTTGTTACTCAAGTAGTAATCAGTTTTTTCCCAATTAGACTTAAACGAGCCAAGGCCACAGTGATATGACATGAGAACACATCAAGACGAATGAGTCGACTCAAAAAGGTATCCTCCTATGATCGAGCGATCATGTGTGGTGAGAGTTAAGTAAATTTCAATGCCCTAGTCCCAGCGTAAACTTTTGGTATTTAGCCTCTCTCAAATTTAGACCGTAGTGCGCTACGAAGAAGCGCATCATTTGTATAGTGGCCCTACTCAATATCAGACTTAATGGTTTTCAACTCGGGGAATCTACCACTATACGCATCCACGCCAGTTGGATGGTTTGCAGTAAGGGGCTTCCAGCTGGATTCCTTTTCGCCTCCGAGAGTAACGGTGGACCTACCACAGCATGGTTCCAACCCTTATATTTTATATTCCCAAAGTTATGGCACAGTAGGCGACAAAGCAGACAGAGAAGCAGTGAACTGTGAGCCCTGATAGGACTGAGTTCGGAGCACAATACATGGGACTACAGATGGTCAACACAAATATCATCGGCGTCTCTAAATATATATATTATCTAAAATTATTATACATATTTCTATGAAGCTGTCCGACCTTCGCCAGACTGAATTGGTACATTTTTGGGTTTCATGTATTAAAAATAGACGAGTTACATTCACTTACCCTCGATAAGCTACTAAAACTCATAAAATAGTGTGGTAAGTTTGCGAAGGCGTAATGCGTTCCCACGTCAACCTGTCTCAGCTACTAAACATTCTATCGTTCCAAGCGCTAACAAGAGCCAACCCCTCGTGGGCAGCAAGAAGTTGGCGTCGGACGCGTGGATTGCCGTACGAGTCAATTGTCAACATTCAGGGCAACCGCGAGCCAACCCCACGAGCGAAGCTCTAAAGCGGCTCCTAGTCGCGAAGGCCTAAAAAGAGGTAAAACTGCTATCGATCACAAGCCCTCCGCGGTAGTTCAGGACCTAAACCAGAAGTCCGCCTCGCAGTCAGAGTTAAGCAGGTTCTCAGAAATGCTTCAAAACAGCTGAAAAAATTGGATAACGATCCTGTAGTTGAGAGGGAAAGAGGCATTGTCTCTGAAAGTTTCCACGCTTAACTCACTCCCCTTCAACTTGCAAAGAGGTGGCCTACAAAAGGAAGCGGTCGAAAGATGATTCCAAAGGCGAAGCTAATAGACCAGAAACCTCCAACTGGATGAAGGAAGTAGTAGTCTAGTTATTCGACTTGGAGTCGTAACAGGTCACTGCCTGATGAGAGCACAAAACAATAGCATGGGTCTACAGTCGAAAGAATTCTATCGTAGCTGCAGAGAAATCATGTCATGAAAGCTTTCCGCAGATTTTTCGGATATCATTAACTGCATATCGTTACGTAAATCTCAAGTTGATCTCATAGATTTAAGAACTATATTATTCGCAAGTCTTTGAGATATTTCATTTTTGTTGGATGTTCGTGAACTAGCATTTTTTCGAACTTGAAAGCTTTCAACATAACCCCAAAGTAAACTCGAAGTAAAAAGTTTATTGCGATGAAATTGTACTTTTTTATGAGACAGTACGCTCTTATTTTCTGCCCTATCAGCAACCATTTGGCCGCTTGGCCTCTCGGACATCATCACTCTACTGGCAACTGCTGCCAGCTGCCATCGTTGCACCTAAAAATATGCTTTGTTTTATATTGGTCGACATAATTCGTTGGCGCAGTCATTCATTTACAGCACAAGCGGTTTTCTCCGCACCACCCTCTCTCTCTCTCTCTCTCTCTCTCTCTCTCTCTGTTGCTAGCGCGCTGCAACATTTCCAAAAATTACTTAAAAATGCATATGCTTACTCGGTTCGTTTATATTCATGTTTGCTTGTACATATGTACGAGTATTTGTGATTGGCCCATAGCCTTAACTTTGGTGCTGCATAATTTTTGCTGCAGCTGCTTACATCTGCTGCTCTCTACTCGCTGCCACATACAATATATTACTTACAACTGGCATTCGCATTTCGGCAAGCCATGCTTGCATTTTTTATTGCCTTTGGCAACATTCTAGTAAGTGTATTAAAATTGCAATGGATTGAATGCAAAAAAAAAAAGAAAAGGAAATCGCAAATCGAAAAAATTGCATACGAAATGAGTTAGAAAAACTGAGAAAAAAAAAAACGCAAATGAAGATTGGAAAATGTTCGAGTAAAAGAAATATAGTAACCAATATTTTGTAGCAATTTTCCTTGGCATTTACCTGCAACTGCTGTTGCTGCTGGGGATTTTGTTGTTTCGTGCTATTCTTAGTTTCGTAATTTTCTATGCAGCTCCGCCAGCTGCCCTAAGCAGTCAGCACAAAGTTTGATATGAATTCGTTTCGCTGATTTTTCCAACAGCTGCTGGGGTGGATTTCTTTACTTTTGCTTGGCTTTCTATTTCAATCGCTAGTAGTTTGGAGTATTCTTCTCCTTGATTCTGTAATGAATTCAGAGAAAAAATGGAAATTAATGCATGGAAAATCGCTTAGAATGTTGTGATTAAATTCTCGTTGTTTAGTTTTGATTTCATGAAGAAAATTAATTCTGTTCGATGAGTAATTGAATTGAGTTGAATGCAAAGTAATTTGTGCAATTTGTGGGGGGAAAATTTGCAATTGAAAAAAAAAAAAACATAAGATTGGAATGAAGGATGAAGCAAGGGATAGATTGAGTTCAGCTTTGTTTTCAGATTCTGCACAGTAATTTTATAAATTTTATGCCTTTACATGTGGAAATTATTTAATTTTAAAATTGGTAACAAATTCAAATATTATGGGAATAACGGATAATGGGTGTTTTTTCAAACTTTTTCGCATTCAAAAAAAAATATTTAATTAGGCTTGAAATGACCGTTGAGAATGAAACTTCTGCAGATATCCCGAAAAGCTTAGAATAAATATCAAAACGGCGCGAAAAATCTGAAAATCCTGAAGATATCCAGAAAAAAAACTAGCTGATTTAAAAAAAAAAAATGCGGAAAATAACTAATAGACTGAAAAGCGTCGAAATTTCATATAAATAAAGTCCAAATTGAAACACGGAAACTTACAAAAAGTTCCGAAAATGTCCTGAAAAATCCAAAAAGTTTTTAAAGCTCCCTAAAAGTCCCCGGAAATTCCAAAACTTACAGAAAAGTGCCAATATGAGCATAATTTTCGAAAAAAATTTCAAGAAAAATCTCGAAAGGTCATGCAAAAGCCTTAAAAATCGTGAAAAATAAGCTCCCGTATTCCCCTTTTATCCCTTACTACAGTCGAATATCTTGAGAAATACCGAAAGGCTCCCCAAAAACCACTAAATTTTAAAAAATCCGAATGATTTCGAAAAGTTTCCTGTATGTGTTTCAAAAATCTCGAAATGTTCGGCTGAGATATGGAAAACTCCACAAAAGTTTCGAAAAAACTCCAATGAGTTTTGAAGTTTGCTGTTAAGTTGCTCAAAATTCTGGAAGGTCGCGAAAACCACCGAGTTAAAGTAACGAAAGCTCCTAGCATCTTTGGAAAATTTCTAAAAGGTCCCAGAAAGTCCCAATAAAATTCCTAAGGACTCATAAAATCTTGACAGGTTCTAAAAATTCCTTAAAACCTCAGAAAAGAAAACATATACACGGGAAGTTTCGAAAAATATCCTAAAAAAGACCGAAGAGGGTTTCTGAAAATCTCCAAAAACATTTTGGAAAGTTGCAAAAATTATATGGAATTCCGAAAATGCCCGAAAAAACTTGAGGGGGGTTCCGAAATATCCGGAAAAAGGCTTTAAAAGTTTCAAAGGTTTCTAAAAAGTCGAAAATATTCCGAAATAATCGCATGTAAAATATGAAAAAACTCCGAAAATGTATCGGAACGACAAAATCTGGAAAAGTCCTTGCAAAAAGCCCTGAGGTACCAGAATAGTTCTCTTATATTCAGTAATCACTTTCATCTCGTTTAATTTACAATGCCGTAAAATATGTGCTATATTAAGACACCCAAACCAAAAATTTCAAAAATTTGCGCTCCTAACACAAACTTCGTAGCCTCAATAGAATATGTGTCCAAGTAAAAGTACATACATATATATGTAAGTTGGGAAGTTTGTTAGTAAGTAAGCTGAAATTGTCAGCTGTCAAGTGTTTGTAAAGTAGCGATAAACCGTGGAACTTAACTTTAGCTGTGTGCACGCCTAAAAGTATACAAATAACAATGCATTTAATATTAACAGTTTTAATCCGCTGCGGCTCAGCGGTGAAAACATTTTAACGCAAATGAATGAAATAAAAAAATATGTAAAAGTGTCACAAAACAAGTAAAAGTTTAAGTGAAAAATACCAGGAAAACTGTTGTGTGTATGTGTGTGCTTACGTGTATGTGTTTGCTATACATACATACATACATATATTCACATAGAAAGTTGCTGTCAAAGCGCTACTTTGCGTCTTATATGAGCCGGCTTAATCTCTAATAATCCATGTGGTTGCAAGTAGGCAAGTGGTGTAGTTAAGCGTGTGAGAATATGCTATGTACATTAGGCCGGCACACCAAAAAAAAGTTGCGCATTTCCCATCAGAATTATAAAACCTATTGCATGTTAAGATTTCCACCTAAAGATTTCGGAAAAATATAAAAATTTACGCTAGCTGGACCGTATTGAAAATACCCGCAAAAATTTTATGACATAGATATTTTGATTCCGTTGATAAAATTTTTAAACGTTTTTATGCCGACCTTTTAAACTTTAAAACTCTCCCATCATGTGAGGGGCTTTTTTGGAAAACATATTTTTAAGAACTAATTTTATTTATAAAAAAGCTCGATTTTGGGAAGTACTTTCATTTTCTCCCAGCTGACGTAAAACTTAATATTTCTCCAAAATATTTTGGCAGAAGTTTTACAATATAATAAATTTTATAATTTCGATGGAAAAACAGTAAAACTTAATATTTCTCCAAAATATTTTGGCAGAAGTTTTACAATATAATAAATTTTATAATTTCGATGGAAAAACAGTACCATTTTTTTCTTGCTTGGGGGTGATGTACCCTAGTGTACGCAGATATATATGACTACAAATAAACGGTTATAAATGTGTGCGTGTATGCTCATTACGAAGTTGGGTATATGAATATTTATTCATATGTGTTATGCTGAGATATAACTGTTGTTTATGCAGGTGGATTTGCTATTAAAAGAATTATAATAATTGAACTTTCGGATGTACCTAATATGTACACTAAAGTGGTCCATTTTGTGTATAGGGAAAAAAATTTCCTCCTACAAAATGGGGCAGCCCCTTAGTTTATTCCTTTTAATATTTGTAATATCTATACCAACTTTCAGTTTTCTACTGCAACTAATACAGGGTGCTCAATGACATTGAAATGCGCTACGGGATCGCTGCAAAACTGGCAAAAATATTGGTGATTTTTATAAAAACGTACTGTTGCCATGACAACTGAAGCTTGTGATATTTTTTCAAATAATTTGAATTTGAAATAGTCTTACGTTACTTAACCAATTATTTGATTAATATATGTACACAATACTTCTAGAGTAAAATATGAGCATCCTATAAATTTATACTTAGAAATGTAAGGTTTGGTGCCAGCACCTCTTTCGGTAAAAGGAAAAATTTTGGAAGACGCCCCGAACCCTGTCTTACAGAATTTTTTTTCGGACCACTCTTATGCACACACTAGGAATGTTAATCCCGGGATCCCGGACTTTTTAAGGTCTCGAAAATCCCGGGATTCTTGGCAAGTAATCCCGGGATTTTCGGGATTTGTAATTTACACTGATGGCAATAATAGAAACTCCTTTTCTTGACCAGTATTGGCTATATTTCTTTTTTTTATTTAATAATTAATATTTTTTTATAAATGTCTAGCTCATTGTACATATAACACCGCGCGATAGTAAACTTAAAATATCAATATATTCGCGAAACCATGCGCCAAATATAGTAAAATTGCGTTTTCAATTTTTCACTCTGATGTCAGTAATTCAAAAATGACTTAAAAAATTCAGACAAATGTGCTTAGGGAAAAAGTATGGGTATACAATTATTGAGGAAATCCTGTAGAATTTAAACATATTCAAGTTTCTAGTGCAAACGGGCCGGTAAATATTGAAAATGTCATTTTAAAATTTTGTCATTGAAGTTTCGTAATATTTATTCAAATTGCGTTCTTCTAACTTTGTCAGCTTAAAAATTACCTATTTGTCCTGGTGAATCCAAAAAATTTTAATTTTTTAAATTCTAAAGAAATTTCCTCTTGCATTTGTTGCCCATATTTTTATTCTAGATTGCATTGAATTTTTTTTACAATTCTTGGAATTAATCATATCTCTGAAAGTCCTTCAAAATAAATCCTGCGGTCAGAGAGAAAAAATAAAAACGCCACTTTAGAGAGTTTTGCTTCACATCGAAATTCGTGCTGCCTTATTTTCATTTTGACGCAGTTCAATGCTGATTGTTTTACTTTTATTTGGCTTTGCTTTTTGTTTTCGCTCAATTTAATTTTTATAATTTTTCAAAACAAAAGAAAAAACGTTTGAAGCCATACAAATTTTGAATTTATTTACAAGCAAATGTTTTTTCCCGTCTCTTGCAAATTGAATAAGTTCTCAGTAAGATGGTTTGTAAAAAAAATACGTGAACATATACATATGGTATATGGGGTATGGAAAAAGTATAAAAAGGTATGGGGAATAATAACTGGCTTTGTTTTTTAATTTTGTTTGCAAAATGTCTTTCGCATTTTATTCTACAAGAAATTTACTTTTATATGGTAAAATGTGCAAAACCCCGTCAGCAAAACCAATTCGTTAAAAATCAAGGCGATTTTTTGCGGCTTTTTCTAAAAATTCAGATAAAAAAGTTCAAAATTTAGATAAAAATGTGTTGAATTTTTCAAAGTTTTTTACAAAGTTATGGTTTGTAGCGGATATGTATGTATGTGAATCTAGTTCTTTCGAGTTTAAAAAATATTTCAGGCTACATTTTATTTCGTGTAGTAGTGAGAAATTAAAACATCGATGTATCGTTTTTATAACCGATGTTTCTTAACATCGATGTTTGTTGCATCCCTACCGTCTACCCAGCTAATATGGAAGCGAGATCCATTCAAGGCAAAGAGATACATATATCTTTATCTGTTCTCAACCACTGTGAATAGAATTAACGGTGCCACCAATTCAAAAAAGATCAGGAAATTAGAAGTGGAAGATGGAGATTGAAACACATACATCGTTTGTCTAGTCACACTTGCCTGCACTTTAGATACGATTTCTATAGCAGTGGTTCAAAACTTTTTTAAGCTCTTAAAGAAACTCTTTTAGACAAATTTTCGGTGATGTCGGTTACGGCCTTATTAAAATCTTAGATGGTAGCAAAATAGGTTGCAAATTTCAGTGTAAAATGTTGAGCTTGTGAGAGTGTCGCAGCTTAAGCTACTACTAA